GTTGTTGTTGTTACTGTAATTATTACTGTTTATTATTATTACTGTTTATTAATGTTATTATTATTACTATTATTATTACTGTAAACATGATTACTGTTAATTATTACTGTTTATTAGTATTATTATTACCATTATTATTACTACTGTAATTATTATTACTGTTTATTATTATTATTATTGTAACTGACATTGATCATCCTCCTGTCTTCAGTCTGTCCGTCTCCGTCCCCTCAAGAGTGTCTCTGCTGCAGGACTGATGTGTCCTCTGAGGTCATAGGTCAAACTCTCACTGACTTCCATTATCTGAGCTCACAGTTTTTCTCTCTAACTTGTCATATCTCCTCCATCAAACCCAGTAGAACCATCAGACAGAACCTGTGGTACCATCAGAACCTTCTGCTGCCCGCGGGTCAAGAAATTCTTTGATCCGACTTCTAGTTTTCACACAGAGACTGTTGGTCTGAGGCTTACTTTTACTCTGTGGTTCTTCCTGCTGTAGTTTTGTTCTGCCCAACCTCTTTCTGTTCCAAATAAGGCGGGAATCACCATGGCAACCAGTGACTCCACAGCATGTTCTTCTTCCATCATGGCCGCCCCCACAGACACTTCATGTGGTCTCTGATCGGACCTCTGGAGGTTCAGGAGGATTCAGTCAGAGGGTCGGCAGGAAACAAGAAGAGGACTGAACCTGGAGTTTCAAAATAAAGCTCAGATACTCTTCAAAATAAGAGTCTGCCTCTGACTTCATGTGGGCTTTAGAGGAGAAAGCTGAAGGAGGTCGGTCCTCTTCAACACCTCTGCAGAACTTATTTTGGCATAGTTCTACGGGCTGAACTGATCCAAAGAGCGGTTCTAAACTCGGACACTCTGAGGGGACGGAGACAGACAGACTGAAGACAGGAGAAGACGAGGACAGAGACACTGAAGGGACGGACACAGACTGAAGGACACTCAGACCCTGAACCTGAAGGAAGCAGCAGTTTGCTCACCGATGGCGTAGACGTGCGGCGGCAGCGTTCCCAGCGAGCGGCCCCGGTACTGCTTGATGGTCTCTGTCGAGTAAAGCTTTGGGATGTCGTCGTACGGGTTGACTGCGATCAGGATGTTGGCCACGTACGTCTGACACACAACACCGCGGGTGAAGCAAACAAAGCTCGGTCTAAACATTTTCACAAACATTTACTTGAGAAGACTCGAAGGTTTCAACAAGCCCTCAGCAGCTGCCAGCTCTGAGCGAGAACAGCTGCCTGATCAAAGATCTGATTCAGGATCAATGGTCCAGGTAGATGGTGGAGCCAGGTCCTCTGATCATCTTAGGAACATGAACCAGCGAGTGAGGAGCTTTCTTGTAGAATGTTGACGACTGTCTCTGATGTTTTCCTCCTAAAGCCCTCTCAGCCGGAGACACGTCACATCTCCCTTCAGTAAAGTCCATTAGCTGCCTCCAGTCTCCACCGTTTGTTGCATTCTTTAGCTCCTCCTCGGTGTTGCGTTGCACAGCTTTGCTCTCGGATATCCTCTAACGGCGTCTCTATTCCAGTTACTTTTGTCTGCAGACCCAGTGTCTCGTCAAAAATAGTGTTGTTGGATACTTGTGCCTCTGCGTCGTCCGTTGGTTTGGTTTTCTTCCCGGTCGGCTGTTTGATCGGAGTTGAGGGATCCGAGTCATCATGGTGGTCACGTTTCGTTAGCGTGGTCATATGGGATTCAGCGTAGTCCTGCTCCTTTGGCCTCTGCAGTGGTTGTGGCTTTAAAGGTGTAGATGTCCAGGATTTTGTATTTTTTGTTAGCTTCTGGGAATCATCACTGAACTTCAGGTGGAAATGGTAAATGGACTGTACAGCTCCTTATCGAGACACTCAAAGCTCTTTACAACAATCTGTGCCCCATTCACCCATTCATACAGCTCTATACTAGATCTATAATCAGAGCTTTATCACATTCAGACACCGATGGGACACACATCGGAGGCTATGAGGGGTTCAGTGTCTTGCCCAGGGACACTTCAGCATGTAACTGCTGGTGGAATCGAACCCCCAACTCTTGCATTGGAGGACGACTGCTCTAACCGCTCAGCCACAGCCGCCCAAATAAGCAAAGTTAGTTAGAGAAAGTTGGTTTTATGTGGAGCTCCCAGAGACTCAGCTTGTCGGTCGGCCATCTTGGTAGCTCCCCACGTCGAGCTGAGTTTGTGATCATTAAAGACGTTTAAAGTCTCTGAAGGACAACGCAGCAGGTTTGAACAGGTCTGTAGAAACCTGCCGTTGAAAAACTTCACTGGCTGTGAACTTTATATGATCAAAATAAAGGTTTTAAACTCACACCTTCAAAATAAAAGGAGTTACTTACATAAATTTTGTCTTTGCTGTATCTGACCCGAACGTTGTTGAGCAGCGTGGCTTCATTCAGGTACATGAGAGAACCTGAGGGACAGAAACAGGAAGTAGTTACTGACAGACAGGAAGTACAGTTACTGAGAGTCAGGAAGTACAGTTACATACAGACAGGAAGTACAGTTACTGAGAGTCAGGAAGTACAGTTACATACAGACAGGAAGTACAGTTACTGAGAGTCAGGAAGTACAGTTACTGACAGACAGGAAGTACAGTTACTGACAGATAGGAAGTACAGTTACTGACAGACAGGAAGTACAGTTACTGAGAGTCAGGAAGTACAGTTACATACAAACAGGAAGTACAGTTACTGAGAGGCAGGAAGTACAGTTACTGACAGGTAGGAAGTACAGTTACTGATAGATAGGAAGTACAGTTACTGACAGGAAGTACAGTTACTGACAGATAGGAAGTACAGTTACTGAGAGACAGGAAGTACAGTTACTGACAGATAGGAAGTACAGTTACTGACAGATAGGAAGTACAGTTACTGACAGGAAGTACAGTTACTGGCAGAAAGGAAATACAGTTACTGGCAGAAAGGAAGTACAGTTACTGAGAGACAGGAAGTACAGTTACGGACCGATAGGAAGTACAGTTACTTAGAGACAGGATTTAGTTACTAAGAGACCAGAAGTAGTTACTGAAAAACAGGACGTTAAGTTACTGAGAGACAGGAAGTACAATGACAGAGAGACAGGAAGTCCTGTGGTTCCCCAATCTGTTACGGAAGCTGATCCGTAACGTTGCTCATTTGCTCATGCACTTAAAAGAATACTTCCGGGTCGCACAGATCGCCGTTCAATATGATAGATTAAGGAAAATATACTGGTATAATTCCGTTTATGAATAAGAACCGTCTTAATTTAATTAGAAAAGTATGTGCTCTATCTTCGCCGATCTTCATGTTGCTAATTTACGCCACTCGTATTTCCGTTAAAATCATTGACATATTTACGTCATGGTTCAAATGATCTGCAGCTTCACCACTGAGCGGCGCTGTTTCATCATGGAAATAATTCATTCTGTATCTCGCAGGGTTTTTCTCACTCAACCCGGGCGGGGGGGGGGGGGGGGGGGGGGTCAGCTCTATTGCGTCGCAGCTTAACCAGTGAATTGTAACGGAAATACGAGTGGTGTAAATTAGCTTCCTGAAGATCGGTGCAGATAGAGCACGTACTTTTCTAAGTAAATGTAGACAGTTTTTTATTCATAAACAACGGTGATCTGTGTGACCTGGAAGGTCACTATGGATCGTGCTTCTGCAACAGATCGGGGAATGACAAGTAAAGTTACTGAGAAACAGGAAGCAGCGGCGGCAGGTTTTGCAAGGACAGAGTGGACTTACAGTTGTCTTCTACATGTTTGTTGACATCATCCTCGGCAGGAAACACTTGGTTGACGGGAGCCAAAAATGTCTGAAACAAACAGAAACATTTAAATAAACATCTTCTAAACAAAAAGAGGAGTAAACACTGGTCTGTGAATAAAATGCATTTCATAAAATATCAAACAGACTTTTATTTGATGTGTTCTTCAACTGGAAAATGAAGAACAAAACATCAAAATACAGGGTTGGTCTCACAGGACAAAAAGACCCATGGGCCCTGTTCTGGGACACAGACTGTCTGGTTCTGGGACACAGACTGTCTGGTTCTGGGACAGACTGTCTGGTTCTGGGACAGACTGTCTGGTTCTGGGACAGACTGTCTGGTTCTGGGACAGACTGTCTGGTTCTGGGACACAGACTGTCTGGTTCTGGGACACAGACTGTCTGGTTCTGGGACAGACTGTCTGGTTCTGGGACACAGACTGTCTGGTTCTGGGACA